CGCCCACCGCAGAGCCCAAGGCTGGGTATCGACCGGGCGCCGCTCCACCGCGCTGGGGGGCAGCTGGGAGCTGCCCCACCGCCCCGCAGCCCCATCCCGTGTCAGCCTGGACCCCCTCCTGGCCGCCGCTGCCCACCACAGCCCCTGCGAAGCACCCTGAGAGCTGCAGGTTTTGCTCCTTTTTATTACACAAAATAACTTCAACACAACCAGTGCAAATTATAAAGAGAAGTTTCACTGAGAATGCCAAATAAATTAAAAATACCTTTGCATAAACTTAAATAAAAGTGCTAAACACTGTATTAAATAGTCTGCCAAATTCACAGGCAGTATGAAAAAAGGGACGTGTCCTGGAGGTGCCCGTGAGAAAAGGTCCGCAGGTGCCTGGAGGGGGGAGGGCGCTGCTCATCCACGGCTGGCTTTGTCCTTTAGATGATTCATGATGTCCTGGACCCACTTGTCATCAGGTTTGCCACAGACCATCCTGCCCGCCACTGTGGTGAATCTGCAAAGGGGAATCCTGTAAAGGAGCTGGAGAGGAGAGGAGAGGAGAGGAGAGGAGAGGAGAGGAGAGGAGAGGAGAGGAGAGGAGAGGAGAGGAGAGGAGAGGAGAGGAGAGGAGAGGAGAGGAGAGGAGAGGGACAGGACAGGACCACCCGCTCCTTGCCACTGGTGGGGCCCACCAAACCAGACACCTCTGTAGGTGCAGAAGAGCCCCAAGGAAATATGGGGTGGGGGATTGGCTTAATGTCATTACAAGTGTCTTGTTCTCTGCTGCTTAAGCCACTCTGCCCCCAGCCTCCTCGAGTCGCGACTCTGCCCTGCCTGGGTCGCACTCTCTGGAGACGAGGGGGGTGACTGGCAGAAGCTCTTTTGGCTCAGGTCTAACAGGGAGTTCCAGAAACTGGCTGCCTGGGATGTGGGATTGGCCTCTGGGATGATTCCGGGCTGTTCTCCTAACACAGGAGAGCCCAGCCCAGTGACCTCCTGTGCCACGGTGAGGTGGGATGTGCGGTTCCCTGGCGCTGCCATCCTTCAGTGGAGCGGGGCCCCCCTACTCACATCACGGCTGGCTGGAGGCAGTGGCTGCCTGTGTGCTCATACGTCAATACACGACTCAAGGGAAACGCTTTGGGACTGTACTGCGTGCAGCAGGGACCAGAAAAGTTGACAGACGCTGGAAGAGAAGTGAAGTTTTCCGATTAAACCAGACCAGGAGAAGCACCGGTGGGGAGAAGCTGGGGGAGGTGCTGCTCCCATGGCTACCCGTCCCTCGGGAAGCCAAAGAGGAGCGAGACGTGCCTCTTCTCTCACACAGCAGATGCTCGGAAGGGATTGCTGCCAAGCATCACTAGACCTTTTATGGCAGAAAGAAAGAGGAGAGAGCTCCTCAGAGAGGAAAGCTTGGACTCACCTGGAGAAGAGGAGACCCGGTAGCAGAGGACAGCCACAAAAAGTACAGCAAGGGCAGCTGTGGAGGTCTTCATGCTCCTGTTGGGCGGAGGTAAGCTGTAGGAGCGAGGCCGGACTGCTGCAGAGACCACCTTGCCGCGGCTGATGTGGAATCCCTGGGTTCAGCTCGCTTTATAGAGGGAGACAGCGAGGAAGGGCGGAAGTGTGCCGGAAGCGTTGCTACACAAGGTGACACAATGGAAAAAGTGCTGCTTCAAGAGTGCCACACGGTCCCGTGGAGGGAAGTGCCCGGAGTCCCGATGAGAGGGGTGCCCTGACGTGGCGTATTATATAATGAGATGATACCACAAAGTGATAGAGAACAGGATATGAGCTCTCTTTTCCTTTCCCCTGACCAAAGGACCCCGTAGAAAACCTAGAAGTAGCAATTCAGAAGATGAGATCAACCTGTTGTCCAGAAGTCACGTGATGGCAATGGATGGAGAATGACTGCGGCTGCCACACACTCATCTTTCCTGGAATATCTGCAACACGAACTGGGGACAATTCCCTTCTCTCACGGCAACTGGAGCAGTGAGCCAGGCAGCCCTCCCCAGCTGCCCCCCAGCCCTGCAGCCGTGCCCTGCCCTGCTGGCAGCAGTGCCCCGAGGAGATGGGGGTCTTCCCCATGGGAGCCAGAAGGCCACCAGCACATAAGCCTGCCGAGCAGAGGGCAGAGCATGGTGCCACTCCAGGCCTGGGCTCCTGTCCTGTTCTTAACCCTCTCTTGTGAGTCATTAGAAAACCGTTTCTGTCACTACGCTGCAGCTTGACAAACACCAGTGACAGCTAAAATAGCACCGTGTTCCCCACGGACAGGAGGATCGGCCATTAATGCTTACAAAGAGCTTTGGAAGCTCATGACAGTGTTGGCACAGCAGAGTTGGCTTAGGTGATTATTTGGTTCCAGCAGTGTAGAATCCACATCGTCCCGACACTGATTTGTCATTGTCCCAGTGGCCACAGACACGTACAGATGAGATTTGCTGGTTCAGCTCATGTTGTTTGGGACAGGAATGGTGGTCACTGTGCTGGCAGAGAGACTCCCGTCGGAAATGCCACATCCCTCTGACTTCCACGTGAAGGCTTGTGGATGAGCCTCAGGGGAGTAGAGGAACAGCGAGGTCTTCACAGTGCTGATGAAGGTGTCTGGGCGCTGGACAAGCGTGGAAAAGACCCACGAGAAGGCTGCTTTTCATGATGGTCCAGTGAAGAAGGGTACTGAGCGCCTCTGTGGAGGGGATGATTACAAAACCAGAAACCACTGCCCAAAGTGGTGGCCTTGTAGGAACCCAGAGGAGGAACTAGAAGGGAAATGAGGAGATTGTTGGACTGGCTGAAGGACAGCCAATTCCAGGCCTGGGGCTCCCACATGCTCCAGGGCATGATGCACACCACCATCACTTCTCAGCAGACCAAACTCTTTGAAAAACGGAGCCAGACAGGTTAGAAAGTGCAGGCTCGGTGGCATTGCAGGATTTGTTTTGCACAGAGCCTTTTGTTTCACTAAAAGACTAAAACTAAGCATGAGCAAAACAGAGGCAAGGTGAGAGCACACGTGGGCACCTCGCTGCCGGGGAGCCTGTGCAAGTCCAGAGAGCGGCAGCCAGGGAGGGTCCCCCTGCAGAGCCCTGGGACCCACATGCTGCCAGCGGGGCTTTTGGAATGACACCTCCTTAGCAGGGATGGGCATTGCCCACCACGCAGCAGGAAGGCAGCCGCCATTCAGCCCACAGCCCACGGTTCTTCTGCAGCCACCGCAGCTCAGTCCCCAGCTGTGCAGCATTGAAGACCTTGGCACATCCTTTCACTTCTCTGCATCTCTTTCCCCACTGATGGGATTGCTGCCATCCCGGATCATGCCCAGGGATTAAACTCCTAGCACAAGAGTGAATCAAGACAGCCCGAATCCAGGCTAAGCCTTGACCCGCCTGTGGCAGAGAAGGACTCCCAGTACCCTGCTCTGAACAGCCGAGGATCTCACGATTCATCTGGGAGCCTACCTGCTCTATAACCCCCAGTCCTGTGCTCTAGAGCACATTCAGGTGCTAGGACGAAGCCTTGCACCTCCAGGGGCATGAGGCCCCACCACCCATGTCCTGGGCTGGCCTCACTTCCTGCCATGCTGCACAGAGTGGGGCTGGGAAGATGCTAGCCCGCTGCTGGTCCACCCCTGGAGCAGTCAGGGGTTGCTCATCTTGCCTGGGGTACCTGGCTTAACAGAGCAGGGAGCCTCCAGAGCGGCCGTCCTGGGGAGCCCGCCAGTCAGGGGTCAGGCAGGCTGCAGCATGCCCGGCACGAGGCGTCAGCACCAGCAGGGCCAGCCTGGAAGGAAGGTGTGTGCTGAGCTGTGATCCCAAATCCACAGCACCTCTGAGCTCCCTCTGCCTCTCTGTTCCAGCTCTTCCTGCGGCATGTGTCCATCTGTGGTCCTGGGACACCTGGGGCAGGGACATCACAGATCCCCTCCATCCCCATGCCCAATTCAGCCATCCTGCCCCTCCAGCCTGGCCATAAGCAACTCCCCTCACCCAGCACCCGCACTTCCCCCACCTCCAGGAGCTCTCGGCACCCTTTTTCCCCAGTTGCTGCTCAGGGATGCTGGGGAAGGTGTAGGTGAAGCTGGGCTCGGGGCGGGGAGCAGGATGTATGGGCAGGAGCTGCCCGGACCGTGCAGGCCCCCTCGCACGGCCCTGTCCCCGTGGGGCTGGTGGTACAGGGCAGATGGACGCTGTGTTGGGTCGAGCTGCATAGCGCTGGGCTTTCTACTGGTATGCAGAAAGGGGTTAACACCCCAATGTTTTGGCTACTGCGGAGCAGTTCTGGCACAGCATCAGGGCTGTGTCTCCAACATTCCCCACACACACCAGTGGGCTGGGAGGGGGCAAGATCTTGGGAGGGGACGTAGCCAAGACACCTGACCCAAAACAGCCACAGGGATATTCCATACCATGTGACATTGGATCAGATATAGAAGCTAAGGGAAAGAAGGAGGAAGGGGAGGGCATTCATCTTTCATGACATTTTGTCTTCCAGAGCAATGGCTCTGTGTACTGAAGCCCTGCTTCCCGGGAAGTGGCTGGGGGTGTGCCGCTAATGGCGA